TGCGCTTCTCTCTGTTCTCGCCATGATTCGCCAGTCTTCAAACAAACTCTCACGCGATTCTGATACCTTTGAAGTGGGCACATCTGCTGCAGGCATCACCTCACACCGCCAAAATTCAGTCTCCTCTTACGATTCTCTCAGCCACCAACAGTCAACGCATCAAACGTCCTTTGATGGCGGCATTCCAGGTGATTGCCTGTCACCAGTAACCACCAGCCAGCAGCTGCCGAATCACAGTCACCTGCAGAAAGTTGAAACAGTAAAAAGTGCAAAAGGTGAGGAGAATGAAGAGCAAGTGGAGCACTCTTTAGCAGTATCCGACGCTGTTGACACCTCAAAGACCCCCTGCTCTCACACACTATCAGGGCCGCTGGCGCCGGCCAACTCTGCTGACTCTGCAACCATGGAAGTCAGCAGCAGCAACAGCAACAACGCTCAAACCCAGCAATCCCGGCAAAGTTCTGTCATTTCCGGGCAGTTCAGAGAAAATCAAAGTTTCTCCGCAGAGGAACCTAGCAGCACGGCCGCCGTCCTCGGTCAGCAGTCATCACTTGCGCACTCGGCTCCGTCTTCGTCGCCAATGCAAAGCGCTGCCAACTCCACTGCACATAATTCACATGGTAATGTGTTTTTCTACAAATTTAATTATTTTCACCTTTTTGTGCAAGTAAAAACATTACTTATTTAACTTCATTTTTGTTGTTGTAATTCTTTGCAGAATCGACAAGTGCCATTACCAGCACTAGTGGCACCAGTTTTCACCAGCAACACCTAGAGCGCATTGACTCATTGGAGAATGAATGTAAGTCTCGGCGGAGTTTATGTGCTCATTTTTATTAAAAGTAGTTGAACTAATATTTGCATTGATGATGATTAAGCTTTCAAATAATAAATAGTTCTATTTGACAAAACGTTTTATTCTATAGAGATTTACTTGCCCAATTTATGTCACTTTTCTATTTAAAAATTATCATTCAAACACCTTTTTTGTTTAACTTTAAAAACCAATTTCATTATGCATATTTAGTATGTAATTATTCAAAACGCTAGTGTTTTACTTTATATGATTTTTTTGTCTAAAAAAATACTTTTTTTAATTCCAATTCCAATTTTTTTCATTTATTTATTTTTGCAGTGGAGCGCGTCAAACGGGAGCGTGATGCGTTGCTTGTTGAAAATGACCGACTGGCGGCACAGCTAGAGATGATGACTGCTGTCAAGCAGCAGCCAAGGTAAGTGTGTTTTCTATTGAACATTGAGCTCATTGTTGTTTGCCACTCTATCCTTTTAAGTTGCACAAATAAGGCAGTTAGCAGCAATACATGCGTCAAACGAACAAAAAAATCAAACAAAATGAGATTATGAATTAAAGATGACTGCCACCATTACCACCACCGGTGGCAGCTCAAGTTATGGTCAAAATATAAATGACAATGCTTTAAGAAAAATACCGTTTTCACTAAACTAGTGTTTGAATTAATAGGATCAAAGTGTTGCACTGCCCAGTTAGTGTTAATGTGTTTTGGTAGACTTCAATTATAAAAGTGTTTTCTAAATAATGAAATAAATAGTCGTTAACTTGAAAACCACAAACGTCACAGAAATCATAAATATTTTAAACGCGTTTTAAAAATTTTAAAAGTTTTTTAAATAACACACTTGAAAGATTAACGTTAATAGTGTTAGTTTTATTTATGTTTTTAAAGTTTAAATTTGTTTTGTTTTTTATGTTTTAAAGACATATTTAAACATAAATCATTTAAATCTATTTTAAAAATTAGAATAGACATATTCTAATTAATTCAAAACAAAGTGTGATGTTCAACTTCCTGATACTAAATTAGCTATAAACATTTCCTGATATAATGACCGTATAGTTTTCCGTTTATTGATTAGTCGGTCGTTGTCAACGTTGCACACTGACTGTTTAATTGACCAACAGTTCTACGGTTCATTAAAGTTGCTCTGCAATAATAAAAGTCATTTCGAAGGAGATGACATTTTTGATGTTTATTACCACCACACAACCACCGAAACCACCACTTTACTAGTTTCATTCTGCCTGACTAGCAAACCAACTAACTAACTGACTGAACAGCGGCAATTTCAATCAATCGATTTGTTTGCCTACCGGTCGCCAAATTTCCGTTTGTCAATTGCGGCGACAAGTCTCTATTTGGCCTGTCTATTCTTTTTTTGTTTTTCTTGTTACTCTCGTCAAGCGTACCAATTAAGTAGGGAGGCCAATGTATTTAGAACTTGGCAATACTTTTTACCTGCAAAAAACAGATGATTTTAGAGAAAAAAGAGCACTAAGATTCATGACCGTTTATTTGGGTATTTTTCCACATATAAACAAAAAATGGTTTAAAGAAGGTTACAATTGGCGCAAAAGTGTATTAGCGGTAATTACTTGCTGGCCGCTCACACGTTATAAAAATAACAGTTTTTTTAAAACAGTTGCATTTATTTAAAAAATGTAGGTTATAATGTAAAACAAGGAGCTTTTTAAGTGTGATTTTATCATTTTAATAGAGTTATATAATCAAGAAATAAAAAATAATTTTTTACAATAGGCTTTTCTATGAAACAAGAATGCTCATTTTAAAAAACAAAATGCTTAATATTTCAAATAAACAAAATTTATTTTTTAAAAACACTAAAAATTAACTGTGATTCAGTGTTTCATTTAGCCGTAAACTGCGTTGACGTCAATAGCTGCAATTGCAATAACAGTCAATTTTTAAATTGAACTTTCACTTTATTTTTGACATTAACACTGAAAAGGTTTAATTTTGTGTGTATGTGAGTGTGAGCGTTTCGAGTTATACACTAACTTTTTTGTCTATTTCTGTTTAACAATTTTTATTCGTTTGAAAAAACATTTGTAGGCCATTAGAGTCAACGATGAAGTGTTGCACCCTTAACTCTATCCCCGGTGGACAGCATCATCCGCACAACTGCACTTGTCTGACTGCAAGTAGCGCACTGGCCAACTCAACAGCTGACCACCCTCAACAGCAAGAACACAGTTATCATCAGTCGTACTGTCAGTGTGACTGTGCCTCATGTCCTGGAGCAGTCCTCACAGCCTTTTCACCACCACCACCTAACTCAGTTCCACTGATCAATGGAGAACCCGATCTCAGTCATTACTCTTGGTATGTAGCAGTGCCATTACCTATTTTTGTACTGGTGGCTCTCCGCCCTTGCAACTGACTAAATTGTTCGCTTTTTCTCTACCCACCAAACCTGAACAGCTCCCACGACTCAAATGAGGCAATGCACGGCAGTAAATCAATGTCCTCCTTCTCTTCCTTCAAGACCACCGTAGACACCAATCTGAATGATGAATTTGGCGCCCTGCCCGAGCACTCCCACTACCTAGTGCAGCAAAGGGAGCAACAGCAGCGGCTGCTGAATACCACCACCTCCCTGGCACCCTGCAATAATCCGCATTGCAACCACAACCTGGCGGTGGGGACCAGCGGCACTGGTGGCGCCACTTCCGCCTCAGCACCGATTACTACTGCTGCTGCTGCTGCCATTAGCAGCAACCGCCGAGGTAGTGAAGGCCAATCAGTGGCGAGCACCGCCAGCTCGGCGACCACCAGCTCAGCAGCGACGGGCACCGGAAGTGGGCGTGCTCACAAGGGCATGCTCAGGCGGGAATCGGCGTTGATGGGCGTTGAAGGGGAGGGCGCCGCCGCTGCCTACCACCACCAGCAGCAGCAGCAGGAACACCCCANCAGCCACAACACTCCACCCCTCGCCCTCTCGCCCTCCTTCAGCAAGAACTCCGTCGCCCTCTCCGTCAGCCTCAACCTGTCGCCCACCGCCTCAGTCACCTCGGCGGGCACCAGTCCGCTCTTTGGCTTCTCAGGACATCACCCCCATCACCATCACCACCACCACATTCAACAGGCCGAAGAGGGCAGTGCCAGTCACCCTCATCACCCCCATCACCCCCATCACCCCCC